TTGTCAGGCAGTCTGCTAGTCTGGAGTTCTGTTAACTGACCAAATAGTATGATAATAGACTGAAGTGGTACCTCAAAGCTTTCTTTTCTTCAGTTCTGGGAACTGAATCTCAGGCTTCATAACTGTCAGGAAAGTGTTCTACCCATAGGCTACCATCCTAGGCCTCACTGAAAATGTATTTTAAAATTGTGTGTACTCTGTATGAGTGCATGCATGTGTGGCGGTCGGGGGACAACTTACAGACACCAGTTCTAGTCGTGCCATGTCTTGGGATGTCAGGCTTACCAGCTCACTGGCAGGCTTTGAACCTGTGCTCCACCTACTTGTAGGCCCATACCACTGGGCCCTGCTCTACTTACAATCCACACATTTCATGGAGCTTTTAGCACAGGAAAGAGCTAGAGTGGGGAGAACTGCTAGAGTGAACTCAGCATTGTTCAGTCTAGCACACAGTTTCAGGGTTCTGCAGTTCTGAGACTTAGGTACAACTCTGCCTTGTGGTTAGCTGAAAGCCAAAAAGAGCTAGATTTCACAAAATTAGCACATGCTCATTTGGTGTTGGTATGAGCCGTATCATAATTACTTTTTTAAAATTATCCTTTTCAGGATTTTGAAATCTGCCTTTTAGTGTGGTTTTATTTAGCTTTTTGGAGTATGAAGTCTGTGATCAGACATAGTTGTAGCTGGAAATTTCTCAGGTCCTGCCTGGCCGGCAGTCGGGACAAGTCTTTCCCACTCATGTTCCCCAAGTAAGCACACAGAGGCTTATATTAATTATAACTGCTCAGCCATTAGCTCAGGCTTATTACTGACTAGCTCTGACACTTAAATTAACCCATAATTCTTATTTATGTTTAGTCATGTCGCTTGCTACCTTTTCTCAGTTCTGCCTTGTCATCTTGCCTCCTCTGTGTCTGGCTGGCAACTCCTGACTCAGCTTTCCTCTTCCCAGAATTCTCCTTGTCTGCTTACCCCACCTATATTTCCTGCCCGGCTACTGGCCAATCAGTGTTTTATTAAACCAGTGAACAAAAGCATTATCCTACAGCACATAGTTTCATATTAAAATGTAAAAATCTCCAACTCAACTGCTATAATTTGGATCTGAAATGTCCCCTGAAGGCCATGTGCTTCAGCCCGGGGCAGCATTCTGAGACAGTGGAACTTGTAAGAGGCGGAGCCTGTTGGAGGGAGTTAGGCATATCGGGAATGTGCACTCTGAGGCCTAGTGTGCCAGAAGCCCAAAGCAACAGGGTCAGCCATGGACCAAATCACCCCAAAGCACGAGCCACAGCAAACCGTCTTTCTCCATTTGGCTGCCTCAGGCATTTCAGAGGCAGGACGCTCAAAACCAAAGGATTATTTTTGTAAGGTTGTCACAATGTGAAGTACTCTTACTCATGCTGGTCCTAATATAAAGCGCAATAAAATGTGGACACAGGTTGAGGAGTTGGCTCAGCTGGTAAAAGGCTTCAGGACCCAAGTTCAATCCCCAACCCCCATGTAAGAAAGCCAGGCATGGAGCTGTAACTCCAGCACTGTAGGGGATGGAGACCAAGAAAAGTGGATGGATCCCTAGAGCGCACTGGCCCATCTAGCCAAATCGGTGAGCTCCAGGTTCAGTGAGAGACCCTGCCTCACAAAATAAGGGGGAGAGCCATCAAGGAAGACACCCCAATAGTGATTGACCTCTGGACTCCATATGCACACATGTTGCAGATGTAACCTCAACATGGACACATGTGCATGTGTATCCCCAATGTGCACTTTATATGCATGCATGACATGAACATGTACAAACAAACATTAAGTAAAACATGAAAACAGTCACAGAGTGAACAGCTTACCAAAAATAGAAGGGAATGCTAAATTAACAAATAGGTTTTTCTAGGCTTAACAGTGTTTCATGTTTGGAATTTAAAATTAATGTGGCATCTTCTAAAGCACTCACATATCTTACCAGCTTCACATTGTCCTCAGGGTTGCTGAGTCAATTTTAGATAAAAAGGCTACAAAATCTTTTACTAGCCCTATAATGGGAGCAGCTTTATTTTAAAGACAAAGAAACACATAAATACCCCTTAACTGAGAGATGGCTTAGTTAAGAGTACTCAGTTAAGAGCTCACAACCATCTGTAGCCCCAGTCCCAGGGGATCCAATGCCCTCTTCTGGCCTCCCAGGGCACCTGGCACACACATGGTGTGCAGGCATACATGCCGGCAAAACAGCCATGCACAGAAACAAAACATTAGGGGAGATTGCTAAGGAGGGGGAGGGCAGAACGAATCCACAGGCGTGGAAATGGGGAGAAGGGAGTTTTTGTCGGAAATCAATTCATGTAGTCACATGTTTTTCACCGAGCCCACAGTGAAGAAAACTTTGTCTCTGGGCTTGTATTTCAAACAGACTTGAAGCTTTAGGCCAGAAATCATTGATTGCCGAAATTAGGGACTACAGTGAATCCTCATTATTGTTTCCGAAGGGTCAAGGTATTTGTGATTTTTTAAAAATTTCCAATAGAAACTAGTGCCTGGTGTTTGTTTTCTTCTTGTCATAGTGACGCCCAATACCCTAAACAGAGTAACACTAAAGCAAATCAATCTTGTTATTTTATTAAAACCATTGCAATATTTGGATACTCATTTGTAAAGATACTATGCAATAGTATACTGTACAGGCTGATAAGGAAAGAAGGGGAGGAGGTATGTCAATCTACACTTATGTTCAAAAAAATTCAAGGCATGTTGTTTTGGTCATATCTTTACAGCTAAGGCACAAATGAAAGTCGGACTTGCAAGAGGAGTGTGAGTGGACATTTGTGATCTGGGTTTGGAAAGATGTCATACTTATCTATTAGATGGAGTGCAGTGAGCCTTCTTAGCATGGTAACCTCAGACCTTCGCTCTGCATCAATCCTGCAATCAGCTACATTGGCTTGAGGGAGACCATGTGAGGCTAGGCAGTTGGTAGGGGCCACGAAGGGCTTGCCTTACATAGCATCACATGGCACTGTGGCTGGTGTGGGGCACTGAATCTGGACAATGATTTCCATCTGTTCCTAAACAAACCTGCTCAATTGAAACCTAATATTACAACCCACACCTCATCTTTACCCTCCCCCCTCATACAGCGCATATTCTCGGAGTCCAAAGCATTAGAAAGAACCCTTACCAAGTCCACAGCAGAACTCTGAGCACAGTAGGCTTGGGACCATCTGACCATTGCATTTTGATTTTTAAAGTCAGATTTCTCTTTAGTTTTTCAGTTATAAAATTATAAGTGGCCTCCTTAAGTCTACAAAATACCTTCAAAAATAGACCTAGGCATTAATGTTCCCCACTCCATAATATCTAAATTTCAAATTCTAATTCCGACTTTACAGGTAGATAGTCTGTCACAAATAAAGCTGAACATATGTGGTCAGCAGAAGTCAAATATGTAGGAGGCATGGAGGTCCTTGTGCTCATGGATAAACACTAGGGGAACGTGGAATGTTAGCACACAGGGCTATTCCTTCAAGAGAAGGAATGCATAACCTGTTGTTATCCATCAGAGGCTGGGAACAGACAAGTGTTCCAGTTTGGTGACCTTTGTGCGATCTGTGTGGCAGACCACACCTGACCCTCCTCCAGACCCTTATCAAAAGCTTGTTTTTCTGGCCAGTCTACAGAACCCATTATGGAAGGTGTCATGTGCACTTTGTAAAGTTTTGATATGGTTAAATCAGATATTTATTTTGGTTACTTTGTTCCTCAAAGAGATTTACGTATGTTTTATTGTATACACAGGACTGAATTAATTACCAGCAGAAAAGTTTTCACCAAGCTGTGCTGTGCTTACATATGCCCCAGATAAACCACTTGGGGTCAGACGCATGAAGTCTGCACTAACAACAACTTTAACACTTGTGCTGAACTGAACTGTCTTCCTCCCTCCCAAGAACCATCATTCTGCTAGCCACAGAGGTCACAGAGACCCTGCAACAATCTATCTCCTGACTCTAAATATAGTATCTGTGCTAAATCACTTTAGTTCCCAGGGAACATAATCCTGAAATCATATCTATTAGCAAAATGTGCCCCAAATTATACTCTTACTCATGGAATTAACTCAAGTAAGAAAATAACATTAGAATATGCTGCATAACCAGGAACTTCCAAATAAATCATTTATGAAAAATACTCTTGTAGACAAATAAGATTAAAGTTGAACATAACATTCACACAAATTTTAAGTTGGCACAAAGCAAAGGCTACAATTTACAATAAAGAATTACAATAATGAATTCTAAAGAATCATAATAAAATATCACAAGTTTCCAAGGAAAATCTGAGACAACTCCAAGCTGTGTAATGATTTCAGGACTGAACAGTCTTAAAGAGAACACAGAGCGGCATTAAAGGTGACTCCACATAACAGAGCCAACCCAACGGACGTTCGGGCGCTGCTGGGTGTGAGATGTGCACTAGGCTTTCCCCGGTCCTCCATCTTGGAGGACTGCTATGATAAAGTGCTGGGTAGAAAGCAGAAGGCAGTACATTCACTTTCCCAACTAACTGACATGACAAGCAGGCTACCCAGGAACCAGCGGCCTTCCACCCTGGCTTTCAGTGTTACCACTGACTGCGCAGGCCCATGTACAGCATGTTAACAGGGGATGAGCAGTGACCAGAACAGGACTTCAGCCCTCCCTGGTTCCTGCACAGAAGAGAACTGAGGTTCCAGAAGACAGACTGTGCTACATTCTAAGTGACAAGTGTCCAGCAGGCCACCCTTTCCCTTCTCTGTCAGGTAGGGCTGGGTTCTGCTAAGGAGACACTGGTTCTGCTAAGGAGCACCTCTCCACACTCCACAACGTTTTCAACTAGAACTGTTTTTCTGTGTCATTTTTTTTATTAACCTGAATTTTTTGGGTGGGGGTTGAGCACACAGGACACAGGTGACATTCAGAGAAATACCTAGGTTAATTTCGTTCAAATGACCTCAAGGCTTGTAACTGAGTGTTAAGTTGTTCAGGTTGATCACATTTTGGTTCATTTTTCTGGATTCTGGGAATTGGGAAGCACCAATCCATTCCACAGACAATCACACCAACTATGAAACAAGTGAGAGCTGTCCTGAGAATGCTGACATTTAGAGAGTATTTCAACAACAATCAAATGACTACTGACTGTGTTCTAGTCACCCGCTTAGGGCATCTGGGAAAGTAATCACCAAACACCCCACAAAACAAACAAACAAACAAAAGTAATGGCATTTTATGTTAAGACAATGAAGAGAATTTGAGGCATGTCAGAAAAGAAGTGGATTAATAACAGGGGAAAAAAACCGACTTCAAAGTCTTAAGTTAGAACCACCTCTCTAGTAATTAAAACATTTTCTGGACACAAGAGATTAAGGAAACTCTAGATAAAGCAGTAGCAAGCAACTTCTCTGTAAGGAGAACACAGTCTAATTGCACACATAATTCACAAGTTAGTCTTACTTTTCTCCATACTGGTAAAGTTCAACTTTATGCCGGTCATAAAAAGTGACTGTGAGAAATCATCCAACACCTGTCAGGTGATTTTATTAGGGTGAAAAAAGCACTCTTGCTTTCTACTTCATCTTTTCCACCTCTTCTTCAGTCTCTGAACGGAAGCTGAACGGCCAGAAACGGTCACAGTCAGACAGAAACCAATCACCAAGTTATAATCACCAACTGGCCTGATTTCTAATAGGAAAATATTTGACTTGGAGAAAACTCTCAAGTAAAAGTTGGACATTTTTGGAAGAAAACATTTTAAAAACAGCAATGCTCTAGATTGTTAAGAAACCATGGCCACCACACTGTAGACACAGGTCAGATGCTTACAGACCAGCTGGAGAAATGAGAGACAACTAAGAAGTGTGTATAAAGAAGCCAGCTTTCTAGGTTAGAAGCTGATTCTGAGTTGTCTTTGAATGTCAGCTTGATTATTTTCACTTTGCACTCATGGCGACTGAGTCTCATAAAGTAACTGGTTGGCTTATTCCAAACACCACACGCGGGAAGTTTTTAAACTACGTTAAGATGCACTTCAGCTGGACGTCAGAGCATTCGCGTCAGCAGTGGGGACAGCCACAGCACTCTTCCACTGGTAAAGCCAGGATTGTCACTGTCTGGTGGCTTGGCATTGAGCTTCTCAACACATCCACTAGAAACATCCAGTCCAACTTGCTTTACAGGCAGGAACATCATCATGCTGGGAAAAGTTGAACAAAAAATTTCAGATGCTGGAGTTAAAAAAAAAAAAAAAAGGCCAAACCAAGGCAGGAAATGACTGTTCTTACTACCTAATACAGACATTTTTAAATAGAAATTTGACCAGGAAGCTTTTAAATATCACTTCCTTTTTTAAAATGGAGAGGGGAAGAGCAGCTGATAGTTTGTGGTGACATTTAACTTTCTGATAAAAATGCTGACTATGGAATATTAAAAAAATAAAAATACATACAGAAAATAGGCCCTCAAATAGTTGAGTACATTTTCAAAATAAATACAGAAGTAACTACGGCTTGCTTTTTCAAGAACCCCCACATTTATTCAGTGGCAAACTGCAGGAATGGGGCAACGCAGGTTTCCCTAGGCAGGAGGTGCTGCAAGAGGTTAGGGCTAAAGGCACAGCCAAGGACGCAGGCCACCAGGAACTGGTGACCACGAGGAGCTTGTGGGAAGGTGGGGACACGGTCTTTCCCTCACCTTTACGGATAGAATGGAAGCAAAGAGAGAAATGGAGAGGTCGAAGTGACACTTGCAGGGGGCAGGCTACAACGGAAAAGCAGACTCTTCTCCTCCACCAGGGTCTCTGAGCGTCCTCTGGAAGAGCAGGGCAGATCTAGCGCTGCCCCGAGGCTCTGATGTGGCCAGAGATAGCAGTGCCTTTTCTTATTACCAGAAAACTTAAACAATCTTGTGTAAACAGCAGTAGACATCCCCTTAGGTTCCTTATAAATGCTCTAATTAGTTGTAGGACTCCCTGAGAACTAGATTCCACAGTATTTTATATGCACAGGCCATTAACAAATATATAACAGCATAACAATTGCCTCCCCATGTTAGGAACATCTGGCCACACCAGTACATTCTACAGAATAGGCTCAGAACCGGCATTGAGCTGGACACCACCCACTCAGGCTGAGTGTCCATACAACCACTATGAGGGCCAACCTTGGTTTAGTCATCTCTCAAGTACCTACAGCTTCTCAAGTTTTAACAAATTCTGTTTTGAGGAAATCAATTTTATTTATATTTTGTGTGCCTTCGTGTTTTGTCTGCATGCATGTCTATATAAGGTTGTCCGATCCCTTGGAACTGGAGTTATAGACAGTGGTGAGTTGCCATGAGGGTGCTGGGAATTGAACCAGAGTCCTCTGGAAGAGCAGCCAGCTCTTAACAACTGAACTCTCTCTCCAGCCCCTTGAGGAAATCAAATTGATTTCAATTAACTAAGCTAAATCAAAAGGTAGTCAAGAGGGCTGACAAGGTTCCTGGCTGTAAGAGTTCTGTAGTCATCCATAAGATGCCATCTAATGGCCGATGAGCTGGATCACTTTTAATGTTTATGCTGGTGATTTTGTGTTTTCGAGCAACAGAAGACATGCATGCGGACATGGAAACTGTGCTGCACTGAACAGACAGATGGTTTACACGGCACTAACACTCGACAGCTGGCGACCATGTTACCACAGCATTACAAACGGGAGAAGCTGCGGCCTGGAGCCTCCAAATACGAAAGCAGGAAAGAAACACTTGGTGCTCAGGAGACAATGTGTTCACACTAAACAGGTAAGGGTTAAAGCAGTCCCGGACCCTTAATGAACAACGGGGAAGGGAGCACATGAGAACTTGGGCTTTCCAGGGATCATGCTTCAAAGCTTCTGAAATTCACAGGCGTCAACTAAAATGAGAACTCGGCACCAGAGCAGCAACTTTCTCCCTGGCGTCAGCACAAGGCAGTAGTGATTCTCACGTTTAATACAGTCCACAGGTGTCCTAAAAAAAGCCTAAGTTTCTAAGGCACCTAGGATTATTAAACAACTGAGCTTCAGGACACTAACTCCGACCTTTTTTTTTTTTTTTTTGACAGTGAAGTACATGGAAAAAGCCCATGGAAGTACAATGAAGAGGTACACTAATTAACAAACATATGTGCCACAGGCCCTTCAAATGCTAAGTTTTTGAAGACACAGAGGACATGTGGATTCCCATGAAAACTACCTCAGATATCTGTAACAGTAACAAGTAGAAAGACCTCACTGATGACGTTTGCTGCCTGGTGTCATACCTCTCCCACTGCTTGTTTGAATATTGTTTATTGGGACCAGGCAAGGAAGGCACTGGTTTTCTGTGTGGTTTGTAGTTGTTTTTTAACACAAGCAAATGGATGCTACACGCCTGCATCAGTACTTCGTGGCTGGAAGCCCTCCTTCCGAAGGCCGCCCATATCAAAGCGGGTGGAGACTTCACAGCGTACTAATAATGTGTCATCCTTAACGAAGGTTCCCTGTCTTAAAGCTTCCAGGTGCATAAATGTTACGTAGCCAAAACCTTTGGGGTTCCGTGGGATTGTGGGACGCTGGAAGGCAAGCAGCTCTGGCTTAGCATCCATGACCTCTTCGTGGTTTTGCCTTATTACTGCTTCAGACTGATCAAGAATTGTAAGGCGAATTGTACCCTGGAAGGGCCAGGGGAGATGGCTGTCATACTCTCCTTGCATTGTGTGGACAAACAGGGATATATAGTTTGCACAGCGCTGAGCCGTTGGTAACTGAAGGTGCAGGCGCATGCACAGCTTGTACCCAGGTCTGCCTGTGTAGAATCCAGGGCTGTGAATGACGACAGGTTTCTCCTCTTCTTGGGATTTCAAGTGCATCCCAAAGTTGCTAATCTTCCAAATGTAAATCCCATTACACTGCTGTGCTTCCATTTCAGCAACTTTGTCCTCAAGGGTTCGAATGGTTCGCTTGAGCTCGCTTACATTTGTGCTCTGAGTTTCCATTTTGGCAGTCAGTTCCCGGATTTGATGGTCCTGCTTTACTAGGCGACTTTCCAACTGTTTGATAGTTTCTTCATAATTTGGGTCCTCTGGACAACATCCCCGGGATGGAGCGTAAGCATCACATGAACGCAAAGTAAGGTTTACATTATGAACAGCCTGGGCCAACAGTCTCATGTGCAACTGGGTATTCTCTTGCAGGTGTCTCGCTAAGTGATTTCTCTGCATCTGAAACGAAGCACAAGCCACAAGTTGGGAGCACTCACTGAGGACAAGGAAAAGGACCTGGCCAGGCACACAAGAGGTTTGAAGAGTAGCATCACAATTTCTCTCAAACTTTTATCACTACTCTGTGTTGTCACCTGATCCAATGAAGTAATCCTTTTATTTTACTGGAGCTAACTGATGAACATTCTCAGCTGTTACTCTGATAAATCTCTTCTGTCAAAGTAGCATCTACACCCATGGTTCTTTGTTGACTCAAAGACAACAAACACCCACGTCTCTTTCCACATTCTCCTTCCTCTACTGTGTCTCTCATCAGAGTACAGCTAATAAACTCTTTGCATTAGAAAAATAGGCAAAGCTTTCTACAGATCATGCTTCCTTTAGCTGGTATCATTTTCTCCCCTTTAAGGCTACCCAAGACCGCCTGTCAAGTCCTCAACTTCCACTTACGACGCTGACTTATTATAAACTACCACCTCCATAGTATTCTAAGACCATCAAAAATCCTAAATGGTCTACGATAATCATAATGTGTATCACAGAAAAATAGAAAATACAGGTGATTAAAAAGGAAATAGGCTACCTATTATCTGTCTTAATATTTTGATATGCTTCAAATTTTTCTCTATGCACACAATACAGAACTTCCTCATAACATTTAAGTATATGAGTTACCATTCTA